ACTCCTCTTTCTCTCTCTCTCTCTCTCTCTCTCTCTCTCTCTCTCTCTCTCTCTCTCTTTCACCCCGTCCCCTCGTGTGCGGGGATTTTCAATTTCGTTCATAAATCCGTAATGGAGGAGTCACTACGAGTGCCGCCGGCCGGAATGAAGCGCCGCCCGTAACGATGCGAGCAATAAAGAATTTAGCGACGGTGCGCGACCGAAAATCACGGGTTACATTTTGCTCCCCGACGTTGTTTACGCCCATCGCGTGTTTCCCGTTGAAATACGCACGCATATACGCATACATACATACGTACGCACACACACCAGAGACCGGAGTATTCCCGGACCCCGCTGTTCCTATTACCCGTGAATTTTTCGATCAATTCGGAGGCAAATTTTGTTTAATGAATTTGTCGGTCCACATGTGTTCACGTATATAGGTAACACGTTTTTCAATCGCGGAAAAGACCTTCGAGAGAGCACGAGACTTTGTTTTGCAGAGAATTTTTCGCAGAATTCGCCTTAACAGTTGATTTAACTTGGAACTGAACTTAATTTATACTTGCACCTTTAATTCACCAATTAAAATATTTAATAATGTCGGGGAAAGTGGCATTTTGCGACGTTTTGTTGTACCAGATGTGAAACGTATGATGTGAAACGTATCTTCTGAAATAAACGCAAAAAAATATACACTGCATTCAAGTAAATAATACGTGTTACAAAAAAGTATTTTGCAAATTTTTGTATATCTACAAATCTACCATAAGTTCGTCACAAGTATCAGATTCTGTATTCTGATGATTCAGTATTTCAATCACGAATATTAAATAAAAAATTCGTTTCGCTTAAAAAAGTGGAGTCAACTTTTTCCGCGAAGTTTCGTGATACTCTTGTAAAGAGAATAAATCCTTCTTTCGAGTATATAATAATCAGCTACTCTAAAATTCGTAATGGGTGCACTTTAAGTGAAGATCATGAAGAAAATATCTTCTGTTGAGGACGAATTAGTATTTAAGAGAAGGAGAGAACAAATTGAGTAGCCGCCTTTCTTAGCAGCGGAATGACATTTTTCCGTGTGCGGGGATAACGCAAGATTCAACGTGAGTGCGTTATGTGAGTGAGCATGCGACGGGCGGAAAGCGAGTCGACGAGAAGCAAAAAATACCGCGTGGAAAGAAATCGCGCGAACTTTCGTCGGAAGTTCAATTGGCACGAATCCCTTTTACTGCCGCGCGCCATTAATGCCCGCGTTGATTAACGCCCAAGACTAATTACGGAGTAATTGCACAATCGTCGTGCGTGTTGTCGCGCGAGTATCGCCGATCGCCAATCGGCAATATTGGAACGTGACGTTTCTCATATCCAGCATACACGCACATTGTGTGCCTTCCTTCTTCGCGACCACTTATTTCCAACGCGCCTCGACCAATAATCAGACCTTTCGCGATGGCGACGATTAACGAGGACGAAAATCCGCTAAAATGGATTTCGCAATTAGCGCGTTATCGCGCTAACGGGTGACGCGCGCGACACGCGGCGAATGTTATCGCGACTTCTTCGTAATTTCATCGACGTGCCGTTCGTTCGTTAATTAAACCTGTGGGACGTGGCGAGTCTCGAGAGAAGTGACGTTAGAAAAGGAGATTCTTTCAGAGAGAGAGAAAGGGAGAAAGAGGGAGAGAGAGAGAGAAAGAGAGAGAGAGAAAGGCTGTAAATTCGATATTGAATCGTTTCCAGAAGCCGCGGGCTGAAGGAACGACCGGCGATTCTTGCAACATCTCACTTCAGGGTTCAGAGGTGACAGTCAATCACGGTGATTCGCGTAATAGCGATCTCGTTACATCAAAAATCGATTCACGCGATGATCTTTCGATCACGCGCAGTGTATCGAGTGTTTTTTTTTCGTGTTTTTTTTCTCCTCTTTTTTCGCGGATGCCGGATGACATCGATTATCCGCGAAAAGTCCATTTCGTTGCGTGGGCCACGTTGTTCACGTTGTGCGAAGCTCGCGCTGAATTTGCAGCGGAAAATCAATTCGGTTAATTGAGAGGGTGCAGTCCGTGTCGCTTTTTTTAATTTCCACCCTCCGCCCGACGCCGCCGTTCCCTCTCTTTCTCTCTCCCTCTGTATCTCCGTCTCTCTCTCTCTCTCTCTCTCTCTCTCTCTCTCTCTCTCTCGCCCTTCATCTCTCGAATACACGCCAGGAATGCAGAGGATTGGGCGGGTAACGGGTTGGACATGTTTATCGACATTCTGAAACGCCGCTCGCCCGTTTTTGGGCACTCCCCCTCCTCCCGCAACTCGCCCTTCCGCGGCCCTCCCGACCGACTCTCCCCCCGCTGCCGCCCCGTTATCGGGAGTACGTTTACACCGCAACAATTAATTACGCCGTAATGCCCGGTGCAATTATTTCCAAAATAGATAAAACGGCCGGGCCGATCTCGATAGACCGTGATAGTCGACGTAATCTCGTTTGAGGGGCACGCAGCGCGGCGTGTAGAATACGCGTAAAACGCGAATACGCGATACGCATTGTTAACACGCGAAGGAGAGAAAACAGCACGCGCGCGGAAATCCACGTCGAGAGATTTGCAGGGAGAATTCGCGACGAGCGAATCTTCCTTCAGCCATGAAACGCTACATCCAACGTTCGCGCGCGTTTTTGTATGCCGGACGATACTTTCGTCAGATTCTACGAAGAAGAAGCCGTGCGTTCGATAATTCCGACCCGAGTCCGTTTATTTCGACGAAATGAACAGTTTCGTTTAAGTCGACCTCGTTAAAACACACGCGCGTGCACATACATACAGAGCACGCACGCACACACATATGGGACACTACAGAGGCAGGGGGCGCGATTTGCATAAGGCGGCACAGTTGCGCGAAACACGAGAACGAGCACGGGCCGGCCGCGAAATTCTTTCCCTTCCTGGTCGAATAAATCGCGCGACCCGGCCGCAGGGGTAAGCGACCCTCCTCCCCGAGCAGCAACAAGCAAAAGCCGCGAGCGTGCGAGCGCGCAGGGCTTCACCCTTCTTCCCTGTCCGGGGGAAGCGCGGAAACCAGAAAATTACGTCACGGTGGACCCCGGTGGACCCCAACCACCACCACCACCACCACCACCTCCTCCTCCTCCTCCTC